TGTTTAGCCGATCTTAGAATGCGAGTGGGAAATGAATACAGCCCGTGTGCCTTGTTTAGTTGAACAATAATTAATTCAGAATCAATTTCAGAAGGAGATACAGGGTTAAAAAAGAATGAACTAGCAAAGTCTAACTTTGGTAGATAATCAGTAAATTGCTTTGGTGAGTTTGGAATTTTGGAAGCCAGGTTATTTCCTATTGAAGAAAAGTATTTATTCATTATGTCAGGAAACTCAGAGGGGTTTTGTGACACTAGATTGCTGCTCGGGCATTTAAGAGAGATTATGTCTTTGTGAACTTTGTTTTTCCGGCCTAAAAGGTTGTTGATGCCCTCCCACATTTTTTTGGTATTGGTAAAGTTTTCTTCAAAATATTTGTGAAAATACATCGTTTTGCTAATTCGCGTGAGCATCAACACTTTGTTCCGATAGAGTTTGTAGGCGGCGGTGTCGCCCGAACAATAAAGATCATTTTTTATTTTAATCGATTTCCTGATCCCCTTTGTTACCCAGGGTTTTAATAATCTCTTTTTCTTACGTTTTGATATTGGCTGAAAAGGTGCGTGCTTATTGAGAAGTTTGTTCAGTTTGTTGTAAAACACAGAAAAAGATTTGTTTACATCATTCAGTCCTGAGACTGCGCCAGTTAGGTCAAGTTGGGACAGTTCGTTTAAGAATTTTGCCTCTGAATAATAAGAGAAAGTCACGGACTAGCATTTTTGTACTTTGGAGGTCAGAGAAGTTATTAGAAGAGTTAAGAATACAAAATTGAGAAAAGTGATCAGTTAGATCTGAGATTATATTACCGCTTGTTATAGTATCTTCTAGATTGCTAGCAAAGATGTTGTCAATGAGTGAATATGAGTTATGATGTACTCTCGTTGGTTTGTCAATTGTCGGGGTTAAGTTGAAGCTTTGCAAGGATAAGATAAAGTTTTGGGCGTATTTGCAATCATGAAAGCGAAGGAGATTAATATTAAAATCACCCATCAAAAAGATCTGCTTGCCAGAGGCGCTGAGTTTTTCGATTGTTCGATCAAAATATTCCTGAAAAAGCTCTGGGGAATTATGCTGGCTATAAACAACTCCGCATATTATATTTGCATGTTTGGGTGGGTGTAACTCAACCCAAAGGGCCTGAAAAGCCTCATTAGAACATTTTTCGATAATTGTGTATTTAAGATTCTCATCAATATACATGCCAACACCTCCAGCTGAAAGAGGTGTTGGCACATGTTCAAAGTTATAGTGGGATATAGTAGGATTGAAATCCGAAAAGTAAGTTCATCTAATAGATGGGTTTCGAAATTTTCCAAATTACGTTTTAAGCTTCGGATGTTAGTATGAAAGAATGAAAAACTAGAATTTGAATAGGAAGACACATTTAAATGTCTTTTTAATTGGGAAAAGCTATGTGGAGAGTAATATTTAATATTTCACTTAAGAGGTGAATTGGCGCTGCTTCAAACTTTGTTCCTGTTATTCTATCTCGTTTCAACTCGTCGAAAAGTAGTCAGTCTTTTCCTGGAGTTGAATTCTAAAAGATTGTTTCGAAGTTCAGGAAAAGAAAAAGAGAGTCGTTGTCTTGTGTTCACGTCTTCCACAAAAAGGTAAATTACACATTCTCACGATGTAGTCATGCAGTGGCGACTTAGAAAAGCGTGATGCACGTGCAGAGTTGTTGTTTTGCCAATCTAAACCTATTGCTTTCCTGCCGTTCTCGTTGAGGTCGCCTTCGTCGTTGCGTAAGCCTTCTTATGACAACACGGCAAGAAAACTGGGGCGAGGTACGAGTATCCTGCTCGCAGTCGTTTTTTATGACGACAAAAGGAATGGTTTTGTAGCAGATTTATGGCCGAGGGGTGATGTAGTAGCTTGTTATAAAGCATTTTTAAATGTCAAACCAATCTCCCTGTTTAAACTCGTCAGCCTCCTAGCTCACTGGATCTCCAATTTGGTGAAATTTATCTGACAGTGTGCTCAATTCCAGTAGCCTTGGTCGCGATAAACATTGAATGTCAAGGTGGCGAAGAGCTCTCTATTAAACGTATTCCAATATTTTTAAAATTTCGCCGTATATCTATCTCTTTAAACTTCGGATGATTCGGGATATTCATTTATCATTTATACAAGAGCCAGCTGGAAGTAAATTGAATTTAATATGTAGAGAAGAGAAAAGGTTTAAAAGGCTTTAAAGGTCAAATAATTGAAATACAACATAACAGGATTAAAAACAGCAACTGGCAGGAGGGAACCAGTTGGCTATTAACAAGCGTGGCCGAGGAGTTGAACTCGGGACGACCGAGAACAAACGCAGCAATTGGTCAAAGCGGGGCTAGAACCAAGAACCGCTGGATTGTGAGTCCGACGCGCTAAACACTCGGCCACGCTGCCTCTCCTATAAAGAGAAAAGAAGAGGAGAGGAGAATGAAACTCTGCTGCCGAAGAAACTGGTGCCATTTTTTCTGCCTGGTCGCCATTTTCATATCAAAGACTTCGCGGTTACCTCGATTTGAAAAAAAAAAAAGACCCTTCAGGCAGCTCGGAAATCATCATAGTACGTACTACTCGAGGTAAAGTAAAGTTGGCAGCTTTTTTTGTAATAAGATAATCTACTAGTAGAAGAGGACCCTGGAAACGGGGTGGGCCTATTTCTCTCTCTCCCCAGCAATCCACGCAGAGCCCTATGCGGAGGAGAGAGACTTCCTACTACTTTTAAGTATGTGTCGCTTTCGTAATTCAACCCCGGCTAGCACATCTGAGGAACAGCGCCGATATCCTTGTTCTGGGGCACTTAAAGGACTTGACGAATAACCAGAAGTGCGTTTCGAATTTCCTTTCATCTTGACTGGGAAATCGACAATGACTTTTTTAAACAGGCCAATCATCGCGTGTACTCAAATCCTGGTACACAAGTGGGCGCCAACAGAATTACAAGGATTTCGGCGCTGGCTGTTTCGCAGACGGACTTAACCAGTGTTTAGTTTCGTCTGTAACGCAGGCTACATTTTTGTCTGATTGATCTTATCCCTTCGTCCCCATTAATAAAGGTTTTGCTTACGTCCTCAATAGCCCTATTTATACTAGAGGACGTCTAAGACGTCTTAGACATTTAAGACATCTTAATAGACGACTTAGATGTCTAGTATAAATACGGGAAATAAGGCAGACGCATTAAACGTCAGACGAATTAAACGTCTGAAGTTAAGTGCGTCCGATCGACGCACTTAACAGATGAATTAGTCGTCGATCTCAGACGTTTAAGGCGTCTAGTATAAAAACGGGACGCACTTAACGACGCACCTAACAGTCAGACGTTTAATGCGTTTGGACGTTTAAGACGTCTTCTAGTATCAATACAGCTAATATCGCTTTCAATGTCTTGCTCACTATACTACTTGGATAAACGGCTTTTGCTGAAAGCCTTGTCTAGAGGTCTTGTCTTCTCGATTTTATGGATAACTTTGTTTTGCCATCGAGATCTTAGTGACTTTTTTTTAATTTAATGTTCGCATGTTTGACTCTCCATTGTAGTAAATTGAGATTAACACGGTCACGCGCAGCTTTATATTTACAGAGTAATGACCGTTTTTCACTTACCAAACGGAGCACAGCAATAAACTCACGTTCATTAGCGGACCGTTTAACAAAACGTTAATTTAATAAACACAAAACAGTATTGTTTGACATCAACACTAAGACTAATTTCTTCTATTACAAACGTTTAACCTAACACTGTCCTCCGGGCACTATCCGGCACTTGTTTTAAATTGTATATTCGAAAAGCAATGTAATTATTAAAGACTCACTAAAAAATCCTTGTATTATTTAATATTACATGTCAAGATTGATTTCGTTTGGTCGTCGCTAGTCTTTGTTTTATTTGACAAAGCTCGTGCTAATTCCCTGAGAAGATTCGTAAAATAGAGAAAATCCAAGAACACACGTCAATAATAACCAATAGGCGGTGTTCTCATTTAGTTTTCAAATAATAATTGACAGCTTAAGGACACGTAAAATAAATTATTATAAGTATGCTGTACAAATGGACAGCAAAGCCCCCCAGAGCATCAAAACAAACAGTTAAAGTTATTAAAACTGCACACCTGTCTCTTTTTTTGTTGTTGATAATTTATCCCTCATGAGTTCCTTTTTAATCATGTACATAAATTTTAGATGGTGGTGTGTGGTCACTATATTCAAGTCAGCTTTTCCCCTTTCTCTGCTTTCAACAGCGGCCTGTGGTCGTCAATATGATTTCCAAAAGTTTTTAGAAAATATTTGAATATGAACAACACAACAAACGAGAATCAGGAAATCACCCCGACTGATGCATCGGATGATGATGAAAATGAAGACATTTTGGGATTCAGTCCTATATACGACATCTTTCCTCTAGTCTTGGCAATTGTGATCGTGGTTTGTAATACAATGGTGTTACGTCTGATTATAGGAGTGAAATCTCTACGAACCGCTGCAAACTTTATCCTTGGAAGTTTGGCTTTTTCCGACTTGCTCAGTGGAGTGCCAGGAATACCGCTATATTTAGCGTGCAGTGCCGTTCAGACTACAATAATATGCGCTATCACTCAAGTACTTACAAGGTTCTTCTTCATTTCANGAGAAGATTCGTAAAATAGAGAAAATCCAAGAACACACGTCAATAATAACCAATAGGCGGTGTTCTCATTTAGTTTTCAAATAATAATTGACAGCTTAAGGACACGTAAAATAAATTATTATAAGTATGCTGTACAAATGGACAGCAAAGCCCCCCAGAGCATCAAAACAAACAGTTAAAGTTATTAAAACTGCACACCTGTCTCTTTTTTTGTTGTTGATAATTTATCCCTCATGAGTTCCTTTTTAATCATGTACATAAATTTTAGATGGTGGTGTGTGGTCACTATATTCAAGTCAGCTTTTCCCCTTTCTCTGCTTTCAACAGCGGCCTGTGGTCGTCAATATGATTGCCAAAAGTTTTTAGAAAATATTTGAATATGAACAACACAACAAACAAGAATCAGAAAATCACCCCGACTGATGCATCGGATGATGATGAAAATGAAGAAATTTTGGGATTCAGTCCTGAATACGACATCTTTCCTCTAGTCTTGGCAATTGTGATCGTGGTTTGTAATACAATGGTGTTACGTCTGATTATAGGAGTGAAATCTCTACGAACAGTTGCAAACTTTATCCTTGGAAGTTTGGCTTTTTCCGACTTGCTCAGTGGAGTGCCAGGAATACCGCTATATTTAGCGTGCAGTGCCGTTCAGACTACAATAATATGCGCTATCACTCAAGTACTTACAAGGTTCTTCTCCATTTCAGTTGTATTACATCTTATCTTAGTGTCCATTGACCGTTATGTTGCTGTTACACGCGCTATGCGTTACCGCTCCTTAGTTACGAAACGAAAAGCGATCTTTTTGCTGTTCTTTGGGTGGACTGCAGCTGCATTCGTCGCGCTGATTCAGCTGTCATGGGTTGGTTTAGATGTTGATGTTAATGAAAAATTCGATGCTTTCACCAAAAAGAGGAGTATCATCTACGACTTTGTTTGTATCGCCCTGTTTTTTATCCTACCGCTTATAGCCATGGCATTCTGCTACTGGAAAATATTTATTGCTTTAAAGGAACAGCTGCGCGCAATAAAAAAGAACATCCCAGCATCCATGCCTAGTTATCACTCGAACAAGCAAGAAAGGCGCGCTGCTCTAACCTTCATCGGGATGATCGCCGTTTACATCTTTTGCTGGCTTCCCTTTTTCATGATCAATCTCCAGCACCAATTAGGCGACGAATTTTTCACTCTTCCCATTTCCGTTGAATATGCGCTATTTTACTACCCGAGGTTTCTTAACTCTGCTTTGAATCCATTACTTTACGTAGCTTTCAAGCATGACTTTCGGCAAGCAGTCCAAAAGCTACGAGGGAAAAAACAAGGAAAGAAAAGATCTTCCACACTAAGTTTACAGAATACTATTGGGAGAAGCTTTCCAGCAGCGTCAAGTCTCCGTAGCGTTCGAACACCTAGCTATTAAGCAGAGCCGTGTTTAATGAAGTAAACGGCAGACTATGGTTATGTTCCCATGATACCTTTCCGATATGTGACTCTCCACTTTCAAGATCGGCGAGGCGCAGCTTCGCTCTGTTACAGAAATTGCGCCGAAATCACCGTTGTTGTGTGATGGTTTTTGTGCCGACACCAAAAGCTAATGGTATAGTATGTACGCTTAACCGGTGCCTCTCCACTTAAGGGATCGGTGCGGCGCAACTTCGCTCCGTTACAGAAATCGCGTCAAAATCACCGTTTTTATGTGTGAACAGAAGCCCTATACGGTATGGTTTTTGTGCCTGCGCAAAATCTATCCGGTATAGTGTGAACACTTATCCCAGATGTGACTCTCCGGGTTAGAGATAACGCGGCGCAACTTCGCTCCGTTACAGAAATCGCGCCGAACTCACCGTTTTTATGTGTGAACAGAAGCCCTATCCAGTAGGGCTTTCGTGCCGTGCCGGCGCAAATGCTTTCCGGTATAGTGTGAGCATAGCCTTAGAATTCGTACTGTAGTCGCCCCTCACTGCTCCTCGTCTCTCCCCAGCGACAGGGACCGGTCAGGGTAAGAGGCGATTTTATTCGCAGAGAGTTTAGAGTTTGTTACGTTGAGATAAATCAGCTGCTTACGCCTGCTTATAAAGCATTTTCAACTTTTTATTTCCCCTGCTAATTTCTAATAATTTACGACAGCACTTCATATGAATTACGCAAACTTTCTACATCAAAGTTGTGTTAGTTATGAGCCGCATGGGGATGACTCCAATCGCCCGTCGCTTGCCAGTGTCTTTTTACTGCAGACCAACAGGAGCTGTAGCCTCAAGACGATCAGAACTAGCGGACCATGCATAGAACTAGAACAAACGATAAAGAGCCCTGAGGGATTAATCATTGCTAGAACTGACAGGAACCATTTATCCCAAACTTTCTGTACGTATATCATTAAGTTTATGAGGCAGCAAATTGAAGTATTTGAAATAAACGGCACTCTTCTCTTAACTGACCGATGAACTTGAAAATTTAAGTTCTTAGATAGGTAGGAAAAAATGTTTTATTAGCCATATTCTTAATTAAATTCGACTTCAGATTCAAAATGTAACCTAAACGTTCAGCTTCCGTTTGAGCGACTTGTACATTAATTAATTGTGCTATTATTATTGAAAGCATATTACATGGCCCATATTTTAAACTCTGCCTTTACGTAAAANGATAAATCAGCTGCTTACGCCTGCTTATAAAGCATTTTCAACTTTTTATTTCCCCTGCTAATTTCTAATAATTTACGACAGCACTTCATATGAATTACGCAAACTTTCTACATCAAAGTTGTGTTAGTTATGAGCCGCATGGGGATGACTCCAATCGCCCGTCGCTTGCCAGTGTCTTTTTACTGCAGACCAACAGGAGCTGTAGCCTCAAGACGATCAGAACTAGCGGACCATGCATAGAACTAGAACAAACGATAAAGAGCCCTGAGGGATTAATCATTGCTAGAACTGACAGGAACCATTTATCCCAAACTTTCTGTACGTATATCATTAAGTTTATGAGGCAGCAAATTGAAGTATTTGAAATAAACGGCACTCTTCTCTTAACTGACCGATGAACTTGAAAATTTAAGTTCTTAGATAGGTAGGAAAAAATGTTTTATTAGCCATATTCTTAATTAAATTCGACTTCAGATTCAAAATGTAACCTAAACGTTCAGCTTCCGTTTGAGCGACTTGTACATTAATTAATTGTGCTATTATTATTGAAAGCATATTACATGGCCCATATTTTAAACTCTGCCTTTACGTAAAACGGATTAATACCTACAATTAAAGTCAAGCTTGTAACTGCTCAATATTTAGCAATATGTAGAAAATAAAACTCATGTTATAATCCAGTTATGTGTTTGCTGATTTCCATAATAACCCTTTTCAATTTAGTTGGAAACGCAGAAGCCCATACTTGCAAAAGAAGTTCAGAATGAACTGTTTATCGCTCACAAATGACTTTATACCGTATTCAGGCTGCATCTTCTCAGTAAATGTTTTTTAATACAGTAATATCTCGACAAAGTCCCCAAGGAGACTTATTTTTTCTTGCTTTTTTTTTAGAGGAGATCAGAGCTCATTGTATGGGAGGGAGGGAGGAGAGACTTTTTAAACTGGAGTGGACACAATGAATTCCGTGAATGAAATCAAAATCACGTATCGTAACGAAATCATGTATAGGGCAGTCAATCGGCTCTCAACAAGAGGTGGTAAAGGGGGAAGAGAATGTATTCGTCATGATACACGCCATTTTCCACAGGTAATTCGTCTCGAGGTGATTAGTGAGTTTACGCAACAGAACAGCAGGAAGAAGAGGACGGCAAAACGCTTGTGCGTGACACACGTGACAGGGCTATTACTTCCGCGTTTTGTCTTCATCTTCACTTAAACATTAATATTTTCTGGTCTTTTACAAAAAGATCTGTTTAAAGGAAGGTGAAGTTTGGCGGAAAGTTTTTTCAAGCAAAATTATTCTCTCGCTTGTCACACATGGTTTGATGTCTTCTTTCCTCACCAGTCCTGTTGCGTAAGTTCACTATTTTAGAACTGCTCCTAGACAGCTGGTCTAAAGTGGATCAATAACCCAAATCCCAATTTATGGATTTGTAGTCAAAACGTGACATGTTATAGGATATGTATTCTATTTTTTCCTCGCTCGGGCTCCGTACTCGCTAGAAAAATAAAAGACCGTATAAACCATTTAATTCAACGAACTATTTTTTTTATTTTATTTTAATAATAAAAAAGATATGAAAATACCTCTTTACTTTTGTTTACACAAATGTATAAATTAGTGCACACGTCCTTTAATTTTAGGGGTGTACGCGAGCTACAAGAGCGACTATAAAAGCCAGTATGGTGGTACATTATATGTACTCATACACAACCCAACTTCCTTATCGCTAAGTAGTGTCTGCCGCTGGTCGTGATTCTCACCTTCATTTAATGACGTCAGATCGTCCTTTGTTAGAGCATACACGTCTGGCTTATCAGGATGAAACCACGGGAAAACTTATGGATCATTAGTTCTTTTTTTTACTTCTAACGACCTGCATTTCTTCTGGCGATCAATTAATTCAGCGAAGGATTGGTAAGCATAGCATGTCGTCATAACATTCTATTGCACAGTCATCCATCTTCCGAAACTGAAAATTTCGCTTAGGTACAACGGATTGTCCGGATCCAGTCACAAATTCGGAATTTAAATTATATTTCTCTGGAGGTCTGATAAAAATTCATCTCAATCAAAAGCAACTTCGCTTAAGCGGTCTTGCAACACCAATCCATTATTTCTAAAGCACGCTGCAGTCAATCGCTCGAGTAATGAATAAACCCGTTTTCTAGCTTGTTGTGACACGTCCATTACCCAAACATATTTTTGAGAGGTATTTTCAACTGACTAGCATTATATCGCCTTACTGGAAGTCTATCTTGATCCAGAAAAGAGAAAAGTTATGGAGTCAATTTTTCAAGTTAATCAGAGCAACTTTGAACACTGAAAATTTGAATATTAATCTCCAGACAACACTGGTCGGCTTAAACAATGTTTTGTTTGCCTCACGTCAATATTTTTGCCTTAACCTGGGTACTGCATGAGACTTGTTAGTTTTAGAAATAACATTCCGGTTTCTAAACAATTTTACGCAATGTGATACGATTTTTACTTTGACCAGTTGAAGCAAAAATCTCTTTGTTTTTCGGAATTGTTTTGGCGGTCACGCGTCGATTCACTTATTGATCGATTGATACATGCACCTGTGTTTTTACCACATGGCGCTTGTCTGACTTGCAACACTTACAGCTGGCTGACGGACCTATATCATATTCAAACCTTTTTGCCAAGAACCGCGTGTCATAACGAAAAAGGAAATTCTTGGGAATAGGTTGTAATTTGCTTTTTCGTCTTACATTCAGGCTTTGCTATCGGCCAAGGTTAACGCGTTGTCCATTCCAAAATTTGCTTCTAACACAAGTCAATTACAGCTGATTTCGTTGCTATGTATACACCCAGATTTTCAGACAAGATTCGACGGTCATGATTTGACCTGTCATGATTCGACACTAATCACATGACCTATCGCTTCGCGGTACGTAAACGGTTGCAAAAATAATTGGGAGTTCTGCCGTGCGATCCGAAACAGTGAGGGAAAAACCTGGCTGGCAAGGAAAGCTTAGCACTAAAGGACATAAAGTGTAACGAAGCTAGAATCCGGACAAATGCGTTTTACCTGAAGAGCAAAGCTGTGTTGCCTGGAAAGGGGCGACATGATGCAGAAATTATGATAACATGTGATACCTGGAGTTCGATTGCCGAGTTCGAATGTATTTCTGTAGGCGATTTCATAATGGACGAAATATTATCAATACGGCGAAAAGCGAATTAGTCCGATGATTTATCGTTTAGTCAGTTCTTCCATGTGACAAGGTTTCGGTATTTTGCCGTTGGTGAATACCACCCGCAATTCACATGTAACAGTGATGCAAATTTTGTTAACAAGGAGGAAAATTTGTATTTCTTCAAGTTGGTAGTTTTTCGTCCTTACTTAGCTTCTGCATGGTTAAAAAATAACAGGAAAACCTGACGTTTTGCAGAAGAAATCAACAGATAAATTGATCGGTCTGCCGTTGTGAAAGAATTTGCTTGAGAGTTTGAAAGTTGTTTTGTCGACCATTGAAAAATATCACAATGTTCGGTCCTCGACCTATGACCCTAGTGAGCGCAAATAAAGAAAACCAGACATAAAAGAAAGCAACATTTGTTTTTATTGAAAAAGGGTAAAATATGATATTTCTTTAAAGATCAAGGTAGAAGTCCAAAAAAAGTTGAGAAAAGAGCCGAAAAACTTAT